ATTTTCTAAGTTTCCATTAGTAAGAGAGAGAGAGACTATTCTAGCATGTTCGAGAAGAAGATATTCACTAATGAAAGACTTATATTGAGCGTATGTATTTTCATTTTTTAAGAGCCTATTTTCTAAATTAATAAATCTCTTTAGAGCTATTTTAAAAGATTCGCCTAATCTTTTATCCGCATTTTCGGAGACCAGTGGAAGATTTACTTGAAAACGACCCGAAGGTAAAATACGAGTGGTTTTATTAAATATTTGTTCAGCCAATTTCTCATCGGGGGTTAATTTACTAACGTGCGGAACTTCTTCAATCTCGAAAAATTGTTGAATTAATTTATCTAAATTATTCTCTTCGGATTCGGACTGAACAAGGAGAGAAACCTTTGACTGAGAAATAGCCAAATTTGAACTACGATGAAAGACATGAGGGGGAAGAGTACCAAAAATAACATAACCCAAGTGGGTATTCTGAAGAATGGGAAGATTCTTTCCTAAACGTATGAATCCATCAGTCAATAATTCGCTGTAGATGTCACCAGCTAGAAGCAAATCAATTTTACCGGGAACAGAGTACGAGGGATCTGCGAGAGTGAGATTAGGGGGAACATTTATTTTGCTTCTATTTAGGGTAGCTTTAGGAAGTCTGCAAGTTATACTATCAAGTACAGCAAAAGAGGTTTTGAAACTTCTATCCTTAACATTATAGGGAAAAAATTCTATGTTAATCATTTGATTTGACAATGAGGTGTTTTCGGATATGGTTGATATCTATAACTGTTTAAAATAAGGGGTGAGGTTTAACTTCTCAACCAAATCACGAGAAATAAATGAATGTTGACTCCCATTATCTAGGAGCGCTCTGGCATGCATAGGCCTGCCATCTTTAGAATACACTGTCACTAAAGCGGTAGCCAACAATACATCAGTTTTAACTGATAAAGCAGAGAGAGAAGTGGCTGTGTGAGAATCTGCAGTGTTTTGTACTTCTAAAGGAGCTTTAAACGAACTGGTAGAAGCTTCATTTTGGGTATGAGCACTATAAGGCGGAGTAGGTATGTGAGCGACACGACTGGAAGAACCTTGAGAATGTTTGGGAGCTTGAGGGTTGCGATCAATCGGGAAAGATTGCTTATTCGTGTTTCTAGAGGAAGAGACATTTTCAGAGGTACTATGCAAGAGCGAGTGATGTCTTTTCTTACATATACTACATGAGCGTGCAGAGTTGCAATCTTGAGAAAAATGTTTATTACCCAAACAATTCCAACAAAGTTTCTTACCTTTTACAAAATTAAATCTTTCCTGTAAAGAGAGACATTTAAAATCATTACATTGATAAATTTTATGCGAATTACTTTTGCAACATATACAACTAGTATCTGAAAAAGAGTTTGTTTGTGAGTTAACTGATGAAAACAAAGATGTTTTTAACTGAGGCTTAGTAAATTTTCTATCATTATCAGAAACGTTTAATTTTTCTTGGATATCACACTTTTTTTCAAGAAAACAAAAAAACTGTGAGAGAGTAGGTAAAGCCTTTGAACCTATTTCATATTCAAATGACCGGTGAGTAGCGAAATCTAATTTTTGTAAAAATACTTCGATTAACAATAAATCCCAATGTTCGATTGGTACTGACATATTCTTGAGTGCGAGTAAAGTCTGTTTGCAAAGAGTTAAAAATTCTCTTAATGATTTTGAGTTACTTTTAGCTAAAGATGGAGCCTTTAACAATTTTTGAATATGTAAACTAATTACACGCGATTTATTTTCGTATCGATCCTTGAGCGTGTCCAAAGCGATCCGGAAATTTTCTTCTACAACTTCAATGTTTTCAATTAAGTGCAAAGGTTCATGTTTTAAGAAGGATTTAAGATATATAAATTTTTGCACATTGTTCAGCTCCACATTATTGATTATCAGCGTTTCAAATAGCTGATAAAACGCGTTCCATTCGGCGAAGTTTCCAGAGAATACCTGCATTGTAATTTCCGGCAACCTAACCTTAGCAGTGGCTACAGTTGACGGAGTATCGTTTGAGCTGAGCGAGTGGGAGGGTAACTTTAATGCTTCCATCTTATGCTGAAGTCCAGCTAGTGTAGAAAAATATTTTTTCTCCGTGAGTGCTCTGTCTTCTGTTTCAGAATCGGTTTCATCGATTTCTTCAATCTGATCCATTACCTCTTCATACTTCAGATAACATGATTTCAATTCGGTGTGTCTGAGTTGAAACTGGAGCCCGTCAGTTTCTGCATCTGCGTTTTCTAGCAGCCAGTTTACTATTCTAGTAATCTTGGCCTTCAGCGGCTTCCTCTTCTTCTTGAGATCTTCCATTTCGACTTTCAACAAAAAGTGCTACTCCAAAAATAACTGCCTAAGGTCGTGCAAAAACCGAATTCTTTAGAGAAATTATTTTTTCTATTATATAATAATACGTATATTACACAGCGAGAATAGAGTGAGTAATGTTTATCGTATATAATAACATGTATAGCACACAACGAGAATAGAGTAAATAATGTTTATATTATGTAATAACATGTATAGCACACAACGAGAATAGAGTAAATAATGTTTATATTATGTAATAACATGTATAGCACACGGCGAGAAAGTTTATTAAAACGCGGTAAAAGTCTTAAATCACACATGAGAGTTTATTTTTGCAATTAAATTTTTTGCACACCCGGTAAATATCTACAAATGTCTACAGATAAATTTTTAAAGAGATAGTCTTTTTGAAAAGCGGTTTACCCTGTGCATAAGCGAAGTTATAATATGGAAAAATCTCACCCAATTTGTCCAGTGGTTTGCAGGAACAGGCACAAACACTATATAAACTTCACTACTGTCCTTTTGTTTCAGAGTTTATCGCGACACCTTAGTCTTTTCGAGAGTCTTTTAAATACATTCATCTAAATATCCGAAACTAGTTAGTACAAATGCCAACATCAAACACAAATCCGTCGAGTAAGGACCACAAACAATGCTGGAGTTTTCTCCGATTTCCACCAATTGTTGTGGGGAAAGCTTATTAAATTCCTTTCCCCGTGCGTGTACAGTTCCAAATATTTTAGGACCATGGACTGTACAAGAGTGTTTCCTTCGATATATACAAGCAGAACTTCACGGCGCTGGTTCTTTATGTGTTTGATTTAATAGGGGTTGTACTTAGAGAAAAAATAAGCGTAATTAATTGAATCTACACATTTAATAACAAGAGACTATTTACACAAGCACTAATACTAACGAAAGAGTTAACATTGTCCATTATTCTATCGGCGTTTAGGGGCGCGCGAGCTATCGCGAAAACAATACACATTTCACTGCATTTTGGCGGCGAAGAGAGAGATTAGGTACCGGCGGTACCGCACAGTTTGAGACTCTAGTCACATCTGCGAGAGATTTTGAATTGAATCTTTACCTTGCCGACAAGGCGGCGTCGGTTTTACCACTTTAAACAACCCTTATAAGCTATTTATGGCACAAATAGTTTGCAGGCAAAAAGTACAGTCTTTAACATAAAATCCAAACTAATATTTGTGTGAACTAAAAATTATACTAAAATTAATATAAAATGTTGTTTTTACAACACTCACATAAATCAACAACGGATCAAATCTTTTCCCACATATTCGTGGATTTCAAAGCCGCATACGACTCAGTCATGTTTCAGACATGTTGAATTTTGAGACTTTCATAACCCGTCTGCACCATTTGTTAAACGAAAACTTTCGGAAACGGAAACAAAGCACCATTTCTAATTTCGTCAGCAGTTAAAACTATTACCGAAAATAAGTATAAAGATATTCTATTACTAATACTTTACCTACCGTCATATTGCAGTGATTTTTACAAAAATTTGAGTTATGGCAATAACACTCATTACGAGAACCCCTGTCAGACGCAGATGTTGAGGTCGACGTTATAGACTAAATTAATAGTTTTAAGCTTTATTAGTAGCATTTTCAGGCACAATTAGTGTATTTTATTATATGAACGTTTATAATACTTCATATTCTTATAAATATCAATAAAAATCAGACATAACGCTTTTTTATTTTTTACAAAATATTTTTTTCCTTTCTAAGTTCTACAAAAAAAAAATTAAACCAAAACTACTGTCAGGTATAAATAGTATAACGATTTAGTACATAACTGATAAAATACTAAGTAATTTTTAAAACTTAAAAAATATAAAACCAAGGATGAAAAAATCATTTTTTGCTCTTTACCAACGTTTGCATTTATGAGCCATGGTGTCTTATGGTTCCGTTGTACAGATATATTGTATAAAAAATCATTTTTAGGCTTTGTCCTTTACTTTAGTTTCTTTTCTTCCCTGTTGTAATTTAAGCTTTAATATTTTTTATATATTGTATTTCTTCGGCATCATAACGTTCTTTAACATATTGTCCCATTTTTTTGTATTGTAGTAAATAGTATTTTTATATCTTTCAGATAGAAATTTGAAAAATTTTCTTAAAATATTTATTTAGGTAATCTGAAAATATTTTCTATACCATTTAATTTTTTACAAAAAATATATAAAAATTAAATATTTAAAATTACGCGCGCCTCTGGAAACAGAATAAACAATTCAATTACTCATTATCATAAATTATCTGTACAACTGTAGTAGATTAAGCGCGTGTCATTAAACAAGAAGTCGGAATATATTAAGCCATGGTATCCCATGGCGCATGTACAAACAATAAAGCAAAGCCGACTTAGTTAGATATGATCTAACGTGACGACCAGGGTATTTGAACTTTTATTATTTTGGTTCTTCCAGTAACTAGTTCCGAACGTATACATCATAGCAGCACAGTTAAATAGATGATCGTTTGCAATTTGTTTAGGCGAAAAAATCGTTGATCGATTGTATTCATGTTACCGCGTGAACAAAACAATCCCAAAAGTAACAATACTTAGGCCAACTGGTCTCAACTTTATTGTTGCTAAGCAGAAAAGTGCGGTAGTCTGGTTTTAGTCATCTCGGAATAATGTTCGTAAAAAAAATGATAAGGTTCCTACAGAGAAACGCTCGACAACATCGATTATATTCAATAAAGAGTTTTGGGGAGATACCCATGCCTAGAGGACTGCCACTGGTGGGTACTACATTTTCGCTTTTAGCTACAGGGGGGCCTAAAAAACTTCATAAGTATATGGATAGGAGGCATAAGGAATTAGGGCCGATCTTCAAAGACAATGTAGGACCGATTACAGCTGTGTTTTTATCCGATCCTGACGAGATGAGAGCAGTCTTTGCAAAAGAAGGTGAGTGTTTAGATATATATATATATATATATATATATATATATATATATATATATATATATATATATATATATAGATAATAAAATCACGGTTTACAGAATTTATGTTTTGCTTTTTATATTAAAAATTTTAAAATAGACAACGTTCAAAGAGTTACTTTTTAAATTGTTTGAAAATATTTATCCCATTATTCACAATTGATATTCTTACGCGAAATCTCGTACTTATATCTTAATTTTGTTTGTAGTGCATTGTTTAAGGTCTCTTTGAGTTTTTCGTGTTTGTATTTTTTGTATCCACTTTGGATTTTAAATATGTATGCCATCATATATCCATCTGTAAGTTTGATATGGTCATTTTTTATATTGAAACGTTCAGACATTCTGCTACTCCACGTGTTTTTATTTCTTCTTCTTCGTATGTTAGACCTTAAGGCCTGTTGTTTCAGATGATTTGAAGTATTTGTGATGTTGACTGCTAGGTATATATCCAACTTTAGGGGGTCTGCATTGTGGACTTTTACGTTCTAGTTTTTCATCTCTTACTATTCGGGCATGTCCCTCTCTTCCTATTCTGTTAATGTGATTGTTCCATTGTCGTCTTCTTTGGCGCCCCTACCTGACGATATGATGTACTTTACACATGTCTTTGATTTGGTTATTAGGGATCTTGTCTCTTAAAGTTGTACCTGCTGTTGCCCTCAGTGGTAAAAATAATAAAAATTAAAATTTTATAAAATAGACTAGGTACATACGTACTAGCATTAAAAAAATAATTATATTCATTTAATTACATAAAATCATTTGAAAAGTGGAATCAATAAATTTTATAACTACGTTTCTAATTACTTTTATTATAAAATAATAAATTGAAATAATATTGAGAAATCAATACGTTTTAAGTTTAAAATTTTTAAATAGATTGAAAGAGATCACGGCAATCTTAACTTACCCAAGACAGATTTTTAAATAAATAGTTTTTGAGAAAAAATATTTTTTTAGAAAAATAAATGTGACAAATGGTTAATCGGAAAGAAAAAATAAATGATTTTAATTGACCCTCTCACGATTTGGATAAAACGTTTAAACATGATTTTTGTTTTTTACGAGACCTATGTTTCTTGTCGTTCAAAACCCTTCAATAATTATGATCTCGAACTAAATGAGTCCACACTCACTCCTAAACAGACAGAAAAGCATTTACAATCACATTACAAATTTTTTCGTACAAGTTCAATTAACAAAGAAAAAAGAAAACTAAATATTAAAAGCAGATAGAGCCAAAAGGTACCCCGGTTAAGATAGGCAGAATGCTCCCACTCTTAGAATTAAATTATTTTTAATTTTTTTTACATTCTGTAATTAAAAAATAAGGCTCAGACTCTCTCCCTACCCCCCCCCCTTCCAAAACGTCAATTTTTCGTTTTTATTTTTTTTTTTGGGTAGGCTGCAATCAATTTAAAAATTTCAAAAAAATTCCTATGCGTAGATTCCTATCTGTAGTTAAGGCTTTTACAACATTTGTATATTTTTTATAAACCCGTAGGTTGAATGTACATAATCTAAAAATGCATTTTTTTCGAAAAAAGCGTATTACTTTCTTTTGAAGGTGGCTGCAGGTCCAATATTTTTTTGTTTTGTGTATTAGATGAAAACCTATATCTTCGATTATTTTCAGATTTTTCTGTCTGATGCACCATCTTCAAAAATCCAAAAAACTGTTTTTAAGGGGTTTTGAGCAATTTTCTCCATTTATATACTTCAAAATAAATCAAATTAAGGTTTTATGTGGATTATACATAGTCTAAATTATATGAGGCCTTTAGAACATCAAAAAATTGGCAAAACACCTTTAAACCTTTCAAAAACCATATTTTCACGGTTTTTAGGGGTTATGGCGGAGTTAAATATATTTTTTGACATCGACACAATCTGAGTCAAGTTTCTCATATTTTTACTTTTTATGTGATTAAAAATCGGACTCGGTGCAATTTTTCTAGTTTTATAAACCCTTAGGTTGAGTATACATAACCTTAAAAAAAAAGCATATAAATTTCTTTTGGAGCCGGCTGCAGGTCCAATTTTTTTTCATTTTGTGTATTTGATCAAAAACCATATCTCTGATTTCTTTCAGATTTTTCCGTATGGTGCGCCATCTTCAAAAATCTGAAAAACTGTTTTTTTATGGATATTGAGGGGTTTTTCCATGCAATGCGGCCAATTTGTGGCATTAGCCTATGGGTATATCGGTGGATATAAATACTTATCGATATACTTATCAACGTTTTAACGTTTCACATTCATTTCCTCATGCGGCTGTAGCTACGTGGTTATTGTTAGTTGTTGCCCTGGAAACCATCAGGATCTTCTAACTCGAATCCCACAAATTGGTCGCATTGCTCCTGTAGTGATCCTTTCCCGAGATAACATAATCCTTTTCTAACTTAGCTGAACCGTAGTGAAGACCACCAACTAGTCAAAAATACGTACATATTTGCAGTTGCCTTTCATGGATATACCTATTTTCTTTTTTTCCTTTTAATTAAGACTTAAGAAAAAGATCCGTAGGTTAACTGTACATAATGCTCCCCAAAAATACATTTTTTAAAGAGCTCATAAGTTAAGTTTGTTTTGAGATAGCTGCAAGTCAAATTTTTTTATATTTCATGTATTTGATCAAAAACTATATCTCCGATTTTTAAAAGTTTTTTTTGTAAGGTACGTCATTTCCAAAAATCCGAAAAACTGTTTTTAGGACTTTTTGGAAATTTTCTCCATTTTATAGACTTCAAAATATATCAAATCTTCAAAAAAAAAAAACAGTTTGTAAGATTTTTTTAGATGGAGACACCATACGGAATAATCTAAAAAAATATTTAGAGAGATATAATTTTTGCTCCAATTCGCAAAATAAAAAAATGAATATGCAAAATCCTTTTAAAATAGTTATACGCGTTTTTCAAAAAAAAAAAATGCATTATTAGACAAATTGCACTGACTCTTATTGTTGACATAAAAAGAAAAAATATGAGAAAATTGATTCCGGTTATGTCGATGTTAAAAATATGATTAACCCCGCCAAAACCCTTAAAACTGCGAAAACATGGTTTATGGAGAGATTAAAGGTGTTTATCCCAAGTTTTAAAACTACTAAAGGCATCATTTAATTTGGAATATATAAAAACCATAAAAAACCTTGATTTGGTCTAGTTTTAGGTCTATAAAATGGAAAAACCCATATCAAACCCTTAATTTTTCGTATTTTCGGAACGTGGCGTACCATACGGAGAAATCTGAAAAAAAATCAGAGATACAATTTTTGAACTAGTACACAAATTGAACAAAAATTGACCTGTAGCCTTTTACGAAAAAAAAAAACAAATGCATTTTTAGGTTATGTACATTCAACCTACGTGTCTATAAAAAATAGAGACATTTTTTAAAAGCCTCAACTACGTCTGTTAATTATTTAAAATTTTTAAATTGATAGCAACCCACAAAAAATACTCACTTTAGGGTAGTGAGTGGGGTGAAGGTGACAGACTAAAATTGCATTAAGCCTTATTTTTAATCACGTAGAATGTAAAAATAAAAAAAATATATTGAATTCTTAGAGTCTGGGTGCCATTTATTGGACTTACATTTAATATTTCGTAATGGTTACTGCTAATAGTTACTGGGCTGGACATGTGTCAAGAGCAAATGAAAATTACCCACCCAGACGAACTCTATTATCGGTCCCAGTGGGAAATAGGAGTAGAGGTAGACCACGACTGAGGTGGAGGGACGGTGTGGACGAGGACGCAAGGAAAATCGGCGCGGCAAATTGGCAACGGTTGGCGATGAACAGAAACGACTGGCGAAATAGACTGGGAAGGTCAAGGCTCAACTAGATCTGTAGCACCACTGATGATGATGAATGGTTACTGCAGTCGTCAGAGACGGAAAATGCCAAGGATTGTCAATTTTGGGACCCCAAAACATGTGCCAAAATGGGCAAAGTTTACTACTTGTACCTCCCGGCTTCCCTTTAAAAGAATCTCTACGCGGTAGATAAAAATGTTTTAACAAAAAATGTAGCTGAGATAATTAGCAGTTTTTGTGTAGAAATAATCATTCTCTAAGATTACGCGATTTTTGCCATTTTTATGATTTCCATGAGAATGAGAACAATAAAATGGGCGACTACGAACTGCCCCACGAACTACCTGGGGCCTTTAATCCGAAGTACCTACTGCGTGCTACTGCCCCATCGCCGAGAAAGTTGGGGATTAAGTCTTAATGAGCGGAAATTCCAAATTTGATCATAGTTGAAAGTAAGAATATAAGCATTTTCAGTATTATTCACTTCATTTGCAAGTATTACGGTATAGTTTTGTGTTTAACATTTAAATGGCGAATCCAACGACTATGTTTAGTCAAAGGGGAGAACTGTTATTAATAATTAATGAATATAAATATTCAAAAGCCCATGTCTCCAAAGATGGAAAAGTTAGATGGCGATGCATCAAACAAGGCTGTCAACAAAGAGTGTACACAAAGAAAGGTGATGAAAATTGTGTTATTCTTGAAAAAGCATTGGAGCATAATCATGCTCCAGATATCCACGTAGACCGGCAAATTTTTAGTAATTCTACAAAGAGAAAAGCTGTAGAAGATATGTGAAAAACCTTTTAATATTGTCCACAAGGAATTAAGAAAGGAAAAATTCAGCAATTTACTGCTGACGACGAAAGACATTTCTTGCCTTCGAAGAAATATCTATGCTACAAGACGAAAATCCACACCATCATTGCCCAAGTCACAGGAGGAAGTTCTACAAGTGTTAGTGAACTTAAATTTAAAAACAAATACAGGTGAAAACTTTTTATTATCTAAGAAAAATAATTCCGCAATTTTTAGTTGTTTCACAAATCTTTACTTTTTGTGTAATGTAAGATTCTTTGTATGTAGATGGAACTTTTCAATACTGTTCTAAATATTTTTGTCGGATGTTTACTA